CAACCTTACCCTCCTTGCCCGGCTTCTCCTTCGGCTCTCCGCCGTTGCCGCCACCCTTCTTTTTCTTCGTATCTCGCTGAAACAGCGTCGAGGAATAATTCCATTTTCTTGTGCGAGTACAATTTTGCTTTCAATTTATTTTCCCCCCTTTTTCCTTCCCTGCTGCTCTCTCGCGCCACGAGATCTCCCAACATCCACGGAGATCGCTTCTTTCTCCCGCCGAGTATCTCGCTCTTGCCCATCGTTCCGTTCGCTGCTTCCACGAACCTTCTTCGCCACCTCCAGTCTACCGACCTTTCTCTCTCTCTCTCTTTTTCTTTCCCTCGACCCGGCTCTTCTTCCGCTTCTTCAACTTCTTTCTCGCTTTCTCGCATTCTTTCCCTCTTATTCAACCTCCAACCACCCTCGCGTTACTGTCCGTTCCTTTCGTCTTACTTTCAACCCCCTCGAACTCTGCCCGTTGCCGCGCACGTTCCGTCTTTCTTTATCGTTTCCTTAGTTTCTCCGGTTCTGCCAGCTCGTTTCTTTCACCGTCGGTCGGTTCCATCCGACCTTACCTCTCGACCGTTGTAATTATTAAACATTGCGAGAGCCAGCACCAGTAACAAGCGTTTTATAACTACGCGAACGAGCTGCCCCGGGTATCCTCCTTTTGTTGCCCTTTCCAGCCGCCTGCTCACCGATGGAAGCGCCCTTGTGAAAGGGAGAGTACCAAGCTTGGATATGCACTTCTCCGAGTCTCGGCTATCGGTCTCTCTGTCTCTTCGGAAATTAATTATCTACGTTCATTTTTTCATGCGTATTCGTTGGAGAGTCTGCACGAAACGGTGTTGCTAAGGGGAGAAGTCTTTGAATAAATTGGCAATTAAGGATGGACGCGGATGTTTCCTTAGAATTAGAAGCATTGTTCTAAAGAGGAAGTTATCGTAAGCATCTTCTCCCGTTTGGAAAAGAAAACGAGCTCGCGAAAAGGGGTTGAATCGGCCTCTACTCTCCGGTAGATTATTCCGATTAGCAGGCAGAAGGGGTTCGCCGGGTTTTGTTTCGTGGCTTCGAGCGGGATTTTCGCGAACGATCGCTCTCGTCTCAATCTGGATTTTAATAATTCCCCGTGTCTGGGGATGGACGCACGAGCGAACCGAAGAATTTGCCGAGCCTGCGAGGGTTGCGAATAATTGCCAGAGGGTGAAGAGGCTGTGTTTTATATTCCGAAACGTCTGTCGATGTTCCTGCATTTTCTCCAGGATCAAATCTTTTCTTAACCGCCTCTTCGTTAATTCTTCTCCGTCGATTCTCTGACTCTTAAATTCTTTTACTTATCAAAGTCCGCGAAATTCACTTTAAAAGCGCACTAAAATATTCGTTTCGTATAATCATAAAAAATTCCGACAGGTAAGCTTTGGGGTGCACCTATGGGTGCCTTTTTTGTGCACTCGCGACGGGATAGACAAAAAGTGGTGTTACGCCACCCCTTGAGCCTGCTTTTTTATGTCGCAATCGTCGCGACATCTGTTGGTCCCACGGGAAACTTTGCAACCCTGTATTACCGTCCGGAATTGTACTACTCCGTCCTCTACAGTGGAAATGGAAGATCGTTCTATTTTTTCCTATCGACTGCGTGTACGAAACTTGTCCTAAGCGAACCGGAGTCCTTGGACCGAAAGTTCGATAAAATTATTTGACTTTTCAATCGAAATACGTAATTCGCCCTTTTTAAACATCCGTTTGAATGTTTAAACTTTAGTTGATGCAAGAAAATAATTAATTACATACTGTAGATAATTGTTATAGATTCATAGATTCACCCTTAGAATTTTTCTTCCTTAATCGTTTTTCATTAGATTAATCAGATCCGTTGATCAGTAATTAGAAATTAGAATATGGAGGAACTTTTCAGTCGTCCATTATTTCGACTATCCATTCAAGGTTAGGGGTTGGAATAGGCCCCGCCTCGGTGCCCCTGTGGGCCAGGCATCGAGCAGTACCCCTCGCACTAGGGGCGGTGCCTTTCCAGTTGCAGATAATTTTACAGATGATTTTTCTACGTTTTATGTACTCGCTGCTCCACGAATTCTTCAAAAACGTTTCCATGTATTATTTCCAAAAGATTTCCCACGACAGATGCATTAACCCCTTGGGGTACTTTAACGAATCTCACTCACGACACACAGCTCAAAACCTAGCTCAAATTTTTAATATTCTTCAACTTGAAAATTAGATCCAACTATAATTCGCATAGTCACGAATGAATATAAAATGCATAACATTTTAATTTTCTTTGTTTGTTTGAATATTACAACTATGAATTTTGACTGACGCATCTAGCAAATAAATTGTAAGCAAGGGGTTAATGCAACGGATGCATCCAAGCTAGTGCAGAGATACTCCGCAGATTCTTCGGAGATGTTTTGAATTCTTCGCCTCAGAATGGAGGCTATCTCTTATATTTTCGTAGCGGAGCGGTCGTTATCAAGCGTTCGCGTTTTCAAGCGCGTGTAACGATGCACGTAGTAGAGACAAGAGGTAGCGAGCAGAAGAGCAACAGAGGGCCGTGCACAAAGCATCGATAACCACGTCCTGCCTGCACTAGTCCTCTTTGCAATTTGCCTGTTCCCGTAGATTGCACCTGCACGGTCTATTACCGTGCAAGTTCCTCTGCGAGAGAGTAACGTAGCCTCAAACCTTGCTACCTTATCCTACTCGCGATGCGGCAAGGGGGGACGTCCCTATTATAAGTTGCGAACAAACTTTACTTATATGCTGGGGACTACCATCCGCATGCGCCCACTTCTGGCCCCGCACATACCTCTTTCTCTCTTTGTCTGTCTCTTTAGCTGCTCCGTCTTCGTCCTGGCATGTTATCCTCTCCCCCTTTTGCATCGTCAGACCCCCTTTCTGTTACCCTTCCTTAACGTTCCGTCGTCTCCGCTGTTACTTGTCGTATTCGTTAACTCCACTCGAAGACATTCGCTAATAAGATCAGCAGACTGCTTTTCAAGATATTGCGAGCAATTTTTCGCTCTTCGAAGCCTCTGTACTTGTCGCGTAAGGTCTGACCAGAAGATGACTCCTCAGTATTACTTCTATTTTTCTATAGATAGATACTGCGTGTTTTAACAAGAAAATTCTACTCGTAGAACTCTCTCAAGCAACGTCGATTTTGTGCATGTTCTTGTATTGTATCCTAACATTCGTCTTTGGTAAAAATCAGTTCAGCGAGTCGTGGCAGTAGTTATTTTATATGTTCGTAAGGAAAGGAGATTTAGCAATCATCGTTCAGTTTCGACGGATTAATACCGTTCGGTATTAATCACACTCGGAGTGACCAATGACCAGGAACTAGTTCAGTGGCAGTTCGGCAGAAGGACTGGACAGAGGGGTGCCGATGCCTTGGGGCGATGGTTGCTCTAATAGAAAGGCACACACAAGTTGACCGTGTGCATCGCGTGTACCGACGTGGTCAGCACACGCGTCCCTCTTCTTCGAACCATTCAGCCCTTTTGTCGCAATCTTATGCGTCCGCGCGATCTAATGACCCGTCGAATAATTGCTTATTAATAATCAACTGACCGCACGCGAGAGATTCGGCCTCATTGTTGCACCGCCACTGCTGGGCTAATGACGCCACGAAGAAAGGCTGCTGACCACTGGTCACGCTGTTACTCCGCTCGGTTTTCTTTTTTTCCTCTATGCAATATGCACCCCTTTGATCGTACAATGTATGCACCGGTTCGTGCACGACACGCAACAGATCCTGAATCGATCGACACAGTAACGATCCCTTTTTTCGTCCCTTGCTATTCGATCTTTGCGAAGGGTCGATTGTATTCTCTATCGGATTAGGTAATTGTTCGTCAGTTTACGTCTGTTGATTCGCGCCGTTGTACAAGAAAGAACAATTAGACGCCTGAAATTAGGATCGATATTTTCATGAATCGTCGCGTAGATTCCTTACCGTGACAGGAATAATCATCCACGTCAGGAGCGAAGAGGTTCGCGTCTGACGTCGATTTTAACACGCCAGAAGGACTTCTTATTCGTCCGCCGTTTCGCCCGAACTTGATGGAACTTAATTAAAGTTTCTTAATGAACGTCGCTGGTGCAGCCGTCATTACCTTCCGGCGTATCGGCACACGAAACTCCACGAGAAACTCCTCTCCATTATTTTCACGAATGTGCCGTCGCGAACCGGTGTTTTTCGAGGATGAAAGAAAGAATACCCGGGAAAAAGAAAGCCTCGATACACGATCCGCGATAAATCCTTTTCGTTGCGAGACATTTGAATCAAAAAGTAAATTTCATTCGGGGTATGCGGCTCTTTCATCGAGCGCCGCATCTGCCGCTCCTCTGGACATTGTCCTGTCCCAGAAATATTTGAAAACTGGTCGAACTAGACGCTTTGCCGAATAGGCGCCACGAAACCGATTCGTTGGAACTGGTCCCAATTGGCCGGCTGCAAATCCGGTCACTCTTGTTTCGTTTAAAATCGATGTTGAATCCTCTTACGGGAACAACATTGTTACGTTGTGCAAGTTTTATCGAACATTTGTTACGTTCGAAAATGTTTCCTGTCGATTAAGGCGCTGACACGATCGTCGATTATTTTGAACATTTTGAACCTTTGAGTTGAAAGCCTTGAACCTTTTATTCGTAAATTTTCTTGACGACGAATGTTGCATGAAAAAGTTTCTTATTTAGTCACTTTCCCACCGTACCGAGCGGTCGCGACGAAAGGGGGGAGGGTAAGAAGGGCCAGTGGGTCAGAAGGGCCACCGACTGACCCAGAACAGGTTTCCGTCTTGTCTCCTTCGCATCATTTTTTCTCCTCTGTTCGTGTCCGAATCAGATTGACCTTCGGTCGATTGTCCATCTTTCTTGGCCCGCTATCCCGTACGGAAACTGGTTTTCTTTCCCACATATCCGGGGCCTGACCGGTCACTCAGGGGGAAACAGGAAGAGTGGGGCACCAGAAGTGACCAGTTCCTGGATGCGTTCTCGTCCTTTGGTCAGTTTACGATTTTGTCCCGTGATCGCCGGTGCCCAGTTCTTTCCTCGAAGCTCTTTCACGGGAAATGTTAAAATTCAGGTAATATTCGAATGCAATTATCTCGTTAGTCTAGTTTTTCGCGGCTCGGTTTCTCACGGTTGGTTTGCAGGTATAAACTGTCTTTGAAAGTGTTGCTGGTAGTTTAGGGGTCACCGGTTCATCGAAATCTTCCATCGATTCACTTATTTGCTTTTCAAGAAAAAATCCTTGACTATTACTATAGTGAAAACGGTGCAGTATTTTGCTTGACGTTCTATCGCGATAGTTTGAGCGCTCCCAAGTCTGTTAATCGATCGGCACAGCAATTAAGACAAACACCTTCTATTATTGGCGATCAGTAATCTACTTACACTCACTCTTCTAACTCCTCGGTTAAACTTTCTCGGCGTAGCTTCTTTCGTCTGTCGTTATATCTTTAGCCCGTATCAAATGTCTCGTAATAATTGTTGTTCCTTGAAAGCGACGTATTACGACGTTATTTTCGTTGAACGTCGATCAACGGAGCGTGTACGGCAGCCGACGACGCGATAAAAATAAACGCTGCACGTAAACGCTCGCTAGATGCCACGCAGGAAACGTTCCACCCCCGCCTACCATGGAACACTTCACCCCCCATTTCGTTTCGTGCTACGCCGTAAGTACGTACTTTGTGCTACCCTGTAGGATAGTCAGGTTTTCCAAGTTCTCTCCCCTTTCGAGGGAAGCCACTCGAGGGCGGAGTCCCGGAGTAAAGCGGCCATACTGCCACCCCCGTCTTACCGACCCTCTTCTACCCCCTCTGGCAAAATAAGGGATGAAAAACAGGATGAGGGCAATGGTGCTTCTGGAAGCGCTCTCAAGCATGCCGCCTTGCTTGCGAAGCTTCATCGGGAATTCACCCTTCCACCGTCGCCTTTATTGCTTTTCCTACGCTTAGAAATTTCGCCCCGCGAAAATCTCTGAAACGAATGCGACTCGAAACAAATTGCGATTTTCCCTAGTCCGACGAATCTTTTCAAATTATTCGTTCTCGTAGAAAACTTAATGCGAACCTTTTTCCAGCGAACGCGCCGTTTTCGGTATTTCATCGGAATTGGTTTGTTTCTGAGGACGCGAATAAATCGTTTAGCATTTTCCCGTAGAAGGAACCCTTTCGAAAGCGAGCAGACTATTTGCTATTCGTCGAAAGCGCGTTCCTCCGTCTCCCTCTCGGGTGTTGTATCGCTAAAGATAGAAAGGGAAGTCTTGCCCTTTGCACGGAAAGATTCAGACCGGATTCTCTCGTATTCCAAACCAGTCCATAGCTTTCAGCTCTCGCTCCCTCTGCCTCTCTTCACAGAGAAGATATTTCTCCGTAGGAGCTTCTCGCAGAGTGAATGCTCCTTAATTTCCTTTGAGCCGTTTGCTCCGGAGTAAAATCCACCCCCTCCTGTCCGCCCTTCCACCGCTTTTCTAGCAGACCCCCTCGTCTTGCCTCGCCTAGTCCTAGCCTCGCCAGCTTCGTCGCGTAACCGTCGTCGGCTCGATGCTGACGCCAGCTCTCTATTCCTCTCTTTCTTCAGCCCTGCAGCTTCTCCTCGCCAGCCTTATTCTGTAATTTCGTTTACAAATGAAAGGGCCGCAAGCTACGACTTTGTACGCCGGGTACACGCGTCTGCAAACGCTCCAGTCCGTGACTGTCAGGTACTATCCCCCCCTCGAATACCTTGAAAACGCCGTCTCTGCCGTTTCCTTAACGCCCTTACCGCCTGTTCGCTATTCGTTCGCCAACGTTTCTGTTTCTGTCAGCCGTTGAAATAATTTCTCCGTTATCAATGATTACGTTTCTTCGAGAACGCGACGAGAACACGAATTTCCCAGGGTCGAAATCCCGGAGCGAATTTGCGGTAGAACGCAACGGGGTTTTTTCCGCTTTATCGAAACGCATCCCCCTTTCGGAAGACAAATCGTCCGGCACTTTTGCGGCAGCTAGGAAAACCTCGGCAATGCGAGGATACTTCCCCGCACGTTCGGCACGGTATTTTAATTCGTCGGGAATGTTGGCGGACCGCCAAACGTCCGCAGAGATTTCTTAATACCCGCCGCAAATGCTTGGCGTCTGTGCCTGCGTCGTTCAGGAATCGGGGTAGGTCTCTGTCGTGCGCTGGATCGGAAGAGGGTGCAACGGTCTAGCGATAACATAAACGTTTACGTGCCTCGCCGGATGAAGCTCGTTTCGTCCTCTAACGATCGTACGGGTATTATCTTGTATTCTCTTAAAAAGCACGATTCATCGATGGAAGTCGAGAAAAGAACGTGTCTGATACTTCGAACGGAGTACACGTTCGATCCAGACATTCGAAGCATTCCCTTCCGAGACACGATTCCCTTATATTCTCTGAAAACAGCCCTCTTCGGTCCCTGCTCGGTCCTCGACTCCCTCGAGCTCTGTCTTCGTCCTCTTTCATTCGACTGCCTGTCCTTCCTGCTCCTCCTCCTGCTCCTCTCGCTCTGTCACCGACTTTCTGTCGTCGCTGGCTTTTGTCTCGGTGCGCGCATTGATTTCTGGGGCCAACTTCGCTTCGTTGCCGGCGTCGTTAAATTATAATCGCGAAACACCCCGGCTCTGAAGTTGCAGACAAAGCCGCCTAGGCAGAGGACACGGGCTGCAGGCTAGGATGGGCACGGGAGGCGGGAGAGCATTCCGTTGAAACGAAGGAACCAGGGTACGCTGAGACCAGATACCTCCACAAGTTTGGGGCACCTCTCGCGCGACCGACTCAAAGTCGTTTCGACCCCCTGCCGTCCGTCGCCTCGTTTTGTTCGATTCACCGCGAATACCGAGACTCGACAAAGGAACGCGGAACACTGGCCCGTGAGCGAGGCGAAAACGTCTTCGTTTTTCAATTAACCGCCCGTCTCGCGATTCAATTTTGCCGGTTGTTGGGGGAGCGGCTTGTTCGCGGTTGCTGACGCCGACATAAGGCGAGCGACCACTCGGGTTCCCGTGGCAAGTTGAATTCAAATGGAAGAAAGTCGACGGGGGTGAGACAACCGACGAAACCCTAGCTTTACTCGCCCTCTTCTCAAGGGGTTGCTTCTCGTTCTCGCTTTCGCGCAAGATGCCTTAAATAAATGAAACTTCTACCGCGCCACGCAAGAACAGCCGGCACAGGCATATAAATTCTCTCGCTTCGTAATTTCAAACTCAAACACCACCGGGGGCCGACTCACCCCAATCTCTCCGTTCTTCTCGCGCCTCGTCTCGTTCCAAGGGCGACCGAGATTTTCAAGGATACCTTCTTACGGCTTCTCCCTTGTTAGGTTTTTAAAGCTCGCGTTGTACTCTCACCGGAGAACCGTCGTCCGTGATCTTGGTTAATTGGAATTTACGCGAGTTGTCTTCCTTAAGGAGGGTGTCGGTACAGAAAATCTGGAGCCTCGCCGACAAAGGAGGGCCGTGAAAGGGCGCGAAGGCGAAGTCGAGGGGTCGATCGTAAAATTCGCAACCCCGTTGGAAATTCAACGAAGCGAGCCGAGATTCACGAGTAGGACCGCGTGCTCTTTCCACGATGACATAAATCCACGGAGAAAGGCCTCTTTCGCGCGAGCGTCGCTCGGCCAGCCACCCGTTCCGTTTTCTCCCGTGCTCCTTGCAGTAATTTCGAGAGCAGCCCCGCCTAATCTCGTCCTAAAATCTAATTCCGCCAACAATTTCTAAGCCGGTCCATTAAAATTCTAAGCACAGTGCCGCGGCACCCAGGGAAGAGGGAGTAAACCGGCTAGGCGGTAGCGGGAGGATGGTTGCGAGGCTGTGGGGTGGTTGCCGAGGGTGGCTGGGGTGGCTGAAACAATAAGAACGTTGCGGAGGCAGCGGTCCCAACCCCCTGCGATCCCCGCCATGCCGTAAGAACGCCGTAAAAGCTCGCCTCCGCGCGCTTTCATTGGCTGAGCCGGCGCCCAACGAGCGAGATATCGCGCAAATAGCGACGACGAAACGACGGGCCACGTGGAGAGAGAAAGAGAGAAACCGAGCGAAACAGCTCGGATTCGGGCGAAGAGGGAAAGAGAGAAGTCGCTGGAGAACGGCATATAAGCATTCACGGTGCAGCCGCAGTAAAGGACGCTTTTCATTGAGCCGTCTTATTGTGCCGGTCCCGCTTCAAGTTTCCAACGACGTTAGCGGCTCTGTTTGTCTACGTCCGCTGTTTTCCTTTCCTTAGCTTCTGGCTTTCCGGGCGAACCAGCTTCCTTCGTCTTTTGCCCGCGTTCGCCCTCCTTCCGACGTCTTCGAAAGGTCGAACGAACGGTTCCTCGTTACTTCGACTCCACTGCCGTTCTTCTCTCGCGAGCTCGGATTATCCGACAAATCCCGTGGGAGGAGGATCGTTGCGCCGCAAGCTACTCCCGGATAATCGTTCTCGAAGGAAAATCAATTTTTCAACGTACGCGTTGACGCTTGCGAACATTCCTTCGAGAATTTAGAGATCCTTTATCGACCAAGTTCTCCTCTTTCTTAACTTTTTCTTTTCCCCATGATCGACGACGAATCTCGCTATTCGGAACGATCTTGGGGGCAGACCAAAGCGGGGTCGAAGTTGTAATCTCGGGGGCAGAAGGTGATGGCAGGGGTGTGCTCCTTTGCGAACCTACAGGGCAAATGCAGGTTTCAGGTTGCTTCGCGTGCACAATTACCGGGCACAGGATGGGCGCGGGCGGGAATGAAATTTCGTCTTGTGTAGCGGGAGCAAGCAAAGTGTACGCGCACCCTCTCCGTTCAGCACGGTCTAGGGAATTGAGTTTCGCCTCGCGAGAGAGCGAGGAAACTGCCGTGGAGAGGAGCCGCTCCGAGGAGACGAACAGAGAGCTCCCCGTTCCGCGACGAGAGAAGAGGAGAGAGAGGCCTCTGGCTGGCTGGATGGGCTGCTGTAACACTGTTATTGCCAATAATGGCACGACTATGCGCGTACATGCTTCGTCGGTTGATCGAGAAATTGATTTACCGAAAGAATCGGCCGGTCGCCGCCGTGCGATCCGCCAGATTCCGATACAAATTGCGTCTCTTTTGTCCGCGCTTCTCC